TCCTTTTTATATATGATTTTAATCACTCTCATCGTAGCTGGTAATTCCAAAAATAAACAAGGTAGCTTTACAAAGGCTGTAGGAATTTTCATCACTTCTAATTTCTAAGCAAATTTCATAGCACATCCACATAATCTTTACAGAGACATTTTGACTATTTTGGAGAAGCAAATTTTGCTCTGACGCAAAGATTTATTTTATTATCTGCAAGGTTCCGAAAAGAAGTTGTTATCATCCTTTTATCTTGCTATTGCTTAAGAGTACTGTATCGAAACGCCCAGGCTCGAATCAAGAAAACATGGATGTTTTAATTGTAAAATAGTGACATTCTGAATCAAATTCAGCTCCAAAGCTCGGAAGAGCTATTCCCGTCATCTAAATAGTATGATCTCAAAGTAACTTAACTTAACCAACTCAGTTGTGTGTAAATTAAATATATCGCTCTCAAAACGTACCGTGGCTGAATGCTTATTTGGCAAGCCTTATAGGTAGATATTAAATCTAGTACTTGCATTTTATAGAACATCTTGTAAACACTTGGATCAAGTTCGATCATTCATTACTATTCCTCAACACTACTAATCTAACACCAATGACGTAGTAAATTTCTTAAATGTTCAGCTTGGCTTAAATGTCTGAGTTTTTAACTATAAATATGAAAATATCCAATGCTTAAGATAACCCGTAAGAATAAAGAAAACTAAATACATAGATCTAAGATCCAAGCTTGATGCTACCTGCACTAAAATCGGTTGCTCACAAAAATCCTCTTTCTTTAGATTTTGTGCTAATAATTAAGTCTTAGTACAAAACGTTGCTGGAGATAACTGCTTGTCTTTAGACTCTATATTACATTGACCATCCAGAACTAAATGAAAGTAGTATGTTTTTGTAACATCTATTATCAAATTATAATATTTTCGAATAACTGTGGAGTATGAATATCCTTGTTCTGGCCTTTCTTGCTAATGTTCAAACTATCTGCTGGACATATTTCCGGGCAACAGAGCTAGCAATCCTAGAAATATTCCTAGAATCCTAGAAATCTTCCGATTTTCCAATCATTTATCCCATCAAAAGATCTTCTAATCATCGCTTAGGAATAGTGTGCCCGGAAAACATCGCGGCCGAAAACGCCGGGGAGAAAATAACGCAAAGCGAAAGCATCGTCGAACAAAATATCGTGTGAGAAAAGAAAGCAAGGAGAAAACGTCGCAGCTCTAAAACATCGTGGTACAAAACATCGCCGTCGAAAATGAAGTTGTTCAAAAACTTACCGTTTAAAAATATCGTCTTCGAAAATATCGTGGTAAATGGGAAAGACCAAACCCCATGCAGTTAATATGTTTGTTAAGAATCAAACGAGTATCAAACGCTGTCAGTTTATGGCGATTTTAAACGGCCCTCAACATAGGTATTTCGATAAAATATAGAACAATTTTCATTGGCTATTAAAAATTATACTTATTATACTTGTGAGTAACCCAGAAAGTATTTATAATAGGATTTATGTTCTTGAAAGATTTTAGGTTATGGTTATTCTTATTTTTATTACCATTATTATTTGTCTGTTCCATTTAGGACTTTATATTTACATTCACAAATGAGTTCTTAATAATCTAAAGCTGCATAAGAAAATAATAAGGTTCTCATATTAGACGTAGTCTAAATTCTATCATTATCATTTACTTTATGGCTTTAGTGTAATAAAAAATTACGTATCTTACATTTTAGAAGCAAGGGGTGTTAAAGCATAAATATGTATTAAAAGTTTAAACGAATGTATGCATATTCATAATAATGCGTCAAGTAAGAGATAGGAAAGATCCAGATAAAAATTATGCACTAGATTCAATATTTGAAATCATTTGTGAAATGTGAGCAGTTTTGGATTTTATTTTCTATATATTTTATACAGAAAATACTTTTTTTAAAAAACTAAAAATTAAATTTTAATGCAGCATATTGGATTGCTATGCAATTCAAAAAGTTTCTTTTGTAACTGACGAGCTGTAAAGACCATAATCTTAATACGAACAAATATATAAATATTAGAGAATTTTTCATTCTGAACGTTACTCATAACAGTTGACTGGAAGCTCCTTTGTAAGATGGAAGTTTATGAAGGAAATACACAATGCAAATTGCTCACTCTTTACAAAATTCATATTTAATTTTCTTTCGCTCAAAATTCGATCCTCACTCGAAGATGAAGTTTCCAAACACCTTTCGAAAGGAATTCACCCAACAATAAATCTCTGCATTCTGAGCGTCCTTTTAGCTATACTAGCGAACCTAATTGTAAGTAATCTATAATATAACAAAATACATACACCAACCAAGTCTTTTGTGAGCCCTCTTAAGAGACGGAGGAAAAGAAGGGGCAAGCAGGGAATGGTCACAGCTGGTGCCTCTCAAACTCTTTTCAAAGGAACAACGCTCCTTCCTATCTTCTACGATAACGATCATTCTTTGGGAATGACACAATAATCAGGCAATTGCTGTCGAGTTTGGAACCTTTGAAAACTGAATTTAAAAGGAGCACTTCGGAATAAATATTTTCTAACGGAGAATCGCTCAAAAATATCGCCACATGTTCTTGCATTTTAAACCGGAAATATTGAAAATTATTCAGCAAAAGCGTTTTGTCAGCGCTAGAAGAAATTAAGCATGATATATTTCCTTCAGAATGTTTTTTAACTGTTGTTTCTATTTAAGAGTCCAAAAAGTTTTATTTCTTTTCCATTTTTCACTTCCTTCTTTCAATAAGTATGCATTTCGCCTGTAAAATAATCTCTCAGAACATCTTATAGATGGAACTAAAATTTTCCCTCCGCAATTCGCTTTTTTATTAAATAAGATACTCAATTTTCTCTTTCAACTCAATCAAATCTTTAAGATATTTTTGTCTAAATTTACTTCTTTGTAGTTCATTTAATGAAATTCTAGGGAAAAAGAAATGTATATTTATCAAGCTAGCATGCACGACTGAATGTACAAAACTCTCCTTCGACTGGTGTATAAAAATCAATCAAGTGAGGCATAGTGTTTTCAGTATTATCTATAATTATGCAGAATTTAAAAAATTAAAAAAAAAACTACCAGTTTTGGTAAAGTTTTCATGTTCATATAATACACGTAATGCTCAGTTACCTTACTTAGGGACATTATTGAAGTATTAATAAATATTAAATATTTTACTGAAAGATACGTCCATAATTGAAAGCAAAGTAAGTGGTATTACTTTTAGATTAGTATTAACCACACATATAAATTAGATTTATAAAAATGGAAAATATGTGTTCAGTTAGTTTGAAAAGAATCGATAATTATTTCTAAGTATAATGAGATATTTCTCGGAACCTTTAAACAAATGACAAAATGTATAATACGTGTTTAGAATTTCAAATTTTATCTAGCTAAAATTGTGAGTATATTCTGGTAATTTGAGAAGTTGGATGGTATCGGAAATTAAATTATTTCAAGAAGATACTGGATCGCGCATTACAGCCGCCTCACGTTCTTCCTGACAGTTCGAAGCCAGTGGGCTTTTTCCAGGCTTTTACTTGGCTGATAAAATATGAATTCTAAATTGACGTTGTGATGGCTTATTTGAATATCTACGCTATTAAAGTGGCATCGGGTGGAATCCTGTATATGTTGATGCTGGAAGTAGAGGGGAGAGACTGTATAGGAAATGAGCCCGTCCCCACTGTGATTTTTCTTACTGATACTTATCTGGTAATATAAGGGACTGAGATTAAAAGTCTGAAGGAATTTCGCTCTTTATATTGCCAAATAAATAATTTAAATTCACACATTGGACAGTATGTGCAAGTGCTCAAAATAAACATCAATTTTATATTTCTGGGGAATATTTAAATATCAACGTATTCCTCCTACTTCAGTTTTCGAGTTATTTAATCGCTATAGTGAAACCTTGATACAAAGCTATGGTGAAACCAGCAGGTGAAATGTTTTACTGAAAACTTCTCTGACGGGTTAATAATTCACTAGAAGAATATATAAATGTATGTAATAAAATACATAACGTATTAAATCTGCTAAAGTAAGATTTTATACGTAATAGTAATAATTATACAAAAATTTACGTAGCACAATTTTATTTTATTAATAACACGTTGAACAGATCGTCAGCTAAGGAATTTAAATTAGAGCTAATTTTATAATATTTCCTTTTAGACGATATATGATAGATGCAGATTAAAAATTCATAAGTTTCGGATTCATCATGTAAAATCTAAATAATAAAACAATAGTTCTTTTAAACATTTAACTACATCAGCGTAATGAAACAAGCATCAATTAATAGAACTTTATGAAAAGACTGCCTGAATTGCACTTAATGTTTCTCGTTTAAGGTTCTTAGTCATTAGACTAACAAATAACTGCAAATTTGTTAGACAGGGAAACTTTCCCTTTGATAGATTATCGAATATTATCAAAGAAGCTAAAAGCTTACTTTGAAAATACCCCTTATTTCATTTCACAAAAGGAAGTAATTTCAAACGATGCTGCAAACAGGATCGTGATTCGGAAAAATCAATTAGTGTTAAAGCATCAGCTGTAAAGCTAAAATGCAAAGTTCAGAACAAAAATAAGTTGAATAAAGGATAAGTATCTAAGTAATTAAAAATAGTTCTCCGTCCTGAAGTCTTAATACTTTGTTTTACTTTCTTAAATGGAGTTTTATGATGGAGCTATCACACTGTAATTTTAACTGAACTGCGCAGTGGGAAAATCGGTGCGAGTAATTTTCTTGATTACTTGCATATATAATTAAAAGCAACTGTTTTATTTGTGTAAATTCAGATTTTGTTGAAATATAAAGTCTTACATATGACACCATACACGCAATTTATACTAAACAGTGTAATAGATTACAATACTATCCTTTTACTAATGGAAGAATTTTTCACTCAGAAATGCGCAGATAAAGTAACAGGAAAGATAATTAATTTCCTACTTTTATTTTCAGATGGTCCGGCCTTGGTCCGAGTTAACATATACATAAGAAGCATCAGCGAAATTGATGATGTGAGAATGGTAAGTTTGATTTACAATAATTTCGTTTGATTTACAATTATTACATTTTTTATTACGCTTGATTACATTCTCTTTCGTTTGATTTACAATAATTTTCAGGGCTAAAACTTTTGATTAAAACAAAATAATTATGTAACTTACTTTTGCTAATCATGTTCAGAATTCCCGTGCAACATGAAATGTTATGCAAAAGGGGCATGTAACTAATAAAGTCACTGACCATAATTTACACAAACTCAAAAGAACTCAAACAGAAAATTTATGAGCAGGAAAATCAAATAATCTGTGTAGAAATGACTCCTACTGAGTCAGTTTAGTTTTAAAACTTGTCGGAATTAATTACAGAATTACCTGAATCATGAAAGAAACTAGAATTAGAAGACATAACTATATTCTTTTATAATACGAGTACATTTTATGTGGTAAGTATTAAAAAGAGCTATTACAGATTAAGATTTGTTATTCCATGATTTGGTGGTAATCAAAGATAAATTAATTTGATATTCCGTTATGGCAAACTAAAATTTATAGCATGTGAAGTGCGTGAGTGAATAATTAATTTCACATTAGAAGATAAACGTACGTGATGATGTATCTAAAATCTTTGCGTGATAAAATTAAGGAAGAGGGCTCGTGTACAAATATTTTTCATGGTTTTCTGTAACAGGTGACGCATTTGCAGCCGCAAATAGCTTTCCATTCTGTAACGTATACGTATAAATATATTTATGTAGTAACTTTCAAATTTCTCTCTGATTGTCAGAAAGGCATTTTGAAACAAACACAGAAAAATGAGCACATTCTCCTTATTATGCATAGCAAATACCTCTTGTTACCATGGTTAGTTCGTTATAAAATAATAAATTGCAGCAATTATAAAAAATTACCAAATTTATACGTTTGAAATACATAGATACTACGTAGAAAATCTGTGAACGCGAACTGCAAGCGTTAAAATTTAAATCAGCCTAAGAAATTACTTAATATATAAAATACAACTTTAATATAAAAAGGATATGATCTGAAATCAGTTGCCTTTATATGTTTTTGTCCTAAATTAAAGTTACTTTTCTTTTTCAAGAAATATTTTTAATTTACTCCGACTTCTAAACAGTTTTTAAAGTAATTACCAGTTGTACAAAGTATAACACTCACCACTTTAATAATGTAAAACGTTATTCATGATGCATATAGTTCGTGGTTTAACTGACAGAGAGAATTTAAAAAAAAATTTCATTTTCCCCTTATGCCACTTAGCTTCGTTCCCTTCTGCCCTTTCTTGAAACATTTTATTTGTCAAATCTAGCATAGCCATCACAATTTCAGTTTAAAAACTGAGCTAAGTCAGAATTCTTTTCTGTATTTTCACAATTCCAGTGGTTTCCTGATAAGTACTCCAATGCCAACATGGGATTCTTCATTTTTGCTACCATCAGTATACATAAACGTATTGCCGTTCGGTGTGTTATTTATAATTTCAAGAGGAAATTGTTGAAGGCAAATTGGGGCGTCATTTTTCTTTGTGGTTTAGACAGTAGTTCAGCATGGAAACTGACCGTTGGAAACCCCACTCAGGGGTCAATGCATTGCTTCAAGGAGCACTGTTCTACTGTAGGGTCAAGTAAATTGTTATGCTCAGTCTGACTAAACGGGCTGTGTTTCTTAAGTCTTTCGTTATTATGAGTCTTTCGCCAATGCGCAATAAATCAGATGCACGATTTTGTGAACTGTAGCAGTAAAGTTTGTTATAATACTTCACTAGTTCCTTCTGAGACTCAGAGGCTGAAGGTCCACCTCAAGCAACACAATATCATTTGGGCAACTATTACGTAAGCCACTTATAATACGAGAGGCTCTAAGCTGCACGCTCTCCAATTTCTGTAGGCTAGTTGAAGACGCACAGCAGTAGCTAGGAAGGCCGTATTCCAAGATGGGACGGATAATAGCCAAATAGGTAGATCTTAAAGTTTCTGCTTCAGCCCCTCAATCTCTTCCCGAAATATATTTCATAATACTATGTCGTTTCCTACACTTCAGTACTAATACCTCCACATGCTTGTTGCTAGTAAATTCAGGGTCTAGAGTACAACCAAGATATTTAGGATGCTTCTCAAATTTGAGAGGCATTTCAGCCATAAAAATATTTGGTTGATAAATTATACAACCCCTTATTAATAGTAAGAAAGCTGACAATAGACTTAGAGGGATTAAAAGTCAGCTTATGATCTTTGGAGAAGGTCCACATGTCTGCTAGGGTAAATATAATATTAGACTCAATTTTATCCTCATCTGAGCCAGAACTCCAGAGGGCAATGTCCTCTGCGCAGACACCGATCTCACATCTCTCTGTTATTACCTCTTCAACGCCATTCAAATGCAGGAAGATAAGAGTAGGGCCCAACACTGAACCTTGAAATACACCTGACTTATCTTAAAGCTATTTATTTGGCATGGTAGTATTAAGCTTCACTCTGAACAGTCTGTCTCTCAAGAAATCATAGATCCAAAATGAAGTCTTTCCATTAATACCAAAATCCTTGTATAGTTTAACAATCAATTTATGTTTCCAGACCCTGTCAAAAGCTTTTGATAGGTCCATAAAAGCATCCACTGTATGATTTGTCGGACGCAGGTTTTGAGCATCTCTGATCGTCTGGCAGAGGTAGAGAACCTGATCTGTTGTGCTGTGAACCATCTTGAATCCGTACTGTTCCTTTGGCAAAAGGTAGTGGTTGTCAAGATGAAGGAAAATCGGGGCGTCATTTTTTCCATAACTTTGCATTATATACAAGTCAGAGCAATGGCCTATAATTCTCGGAAGAACTAACCACTTGCCCTGGGTTTTTGATATTAACTATAATGGCCTTTTTCCATTCCCCCGGCAGCCGGCTGAGATTTCAGAATTTGGTAATGATGTTTAGAAGTCTTTGTCTTGCACCAGTGCCGATGTGGCTAAGCATCTGGCCGTGGATGCCATTAGGTCCAGGGGATTTGGTGAGGTCAAGATCTCTCATTGCCATCACCAGCTCATGCATAGAGAAAATTTTACCGAATAAAATATTGCCCGATATAGAACTGCGTCCGCCATGGGCAAGAATTTTAGACTTTTTCTCTATTTTCTTGTCTCAGCAGTGGAAGTTAATTTACTTAACTTCTGATAGTACGCTCCAAGCAAAGCTGCGGATTTTTCGTCCCTGGAAATGTTCCCGTCCCATCCAGGAAAGTATTACATTTCTCCGTCTGCTGTTGAGCTTTACTGATATTTTTGACTAATTTCCATAATTTCGAGTCTCTTACATAGTTCCAACTAGTTTCTTTTCTTAAGCAAAGCATAAGTTTACTTTATTTCTGCATTAATTTTGTTCAGTTCAATTCTAATCTGGTCAGTATTGGCATTGTGCATAACTTTATGCAGATTTTCTCTTTTTTGTATCAAAAATAGTACTGAGAAATTTTTGTGCACTCGTTGCTATCGATGAGGGACTGAGCTATATAATGCCTTTTTTAGACCCTAAAGCCATATGGATTATGACTGATTGCCGCACTGTCAACCAACATTTGTGAAACTGCTGTAACGTTGGTGATAAAATTTGGAAATTCAATTCTCCCTAAATTAAAACAAGTCTCGTCCTCTTGTGACGTGAATATTCAGTGGATCCCCTCACATGTGGACATTTGGGGAAATGAAGGGGCGAATGCCCTGGCAAACAAGACTGCGGAAGAGGTTCTGGCTACTTCTATTTGTCTGACTTACTTGAGCTGTATTCTGCCAGAAAACATACTGATAAAATGACTTGGCTTGTCCCACCGGCACATTCTTGGTACCGTGCTGAATCCCTTGATTGATCCTTGAAGAAACCTTTCCTTTCAGGGTGGTCAAAAACCCCTCCCGTTTTTTCCGAAATGTAACAATGAGCAGGCTTGCTGGTACATATTCTAAGGTGTCTGGGTTTGTCCTACTACGACCTATTAAAGTTTCCTATGCTAGTCTATGACTTTTTGAAGGTGAATAAACTCGTGGATTTCGTCTAGCAGAAGCTGGACTCGAGGATTAGCAACAGCAACAACACAACACAACTGCAGTTTTGAATACTTCACTCTCTTACCCAGAACGCGCCGAGTATGCTATTCTCACCCAGGTAATATTTTGATTTTGGAAAATCGACTGATTCCTTTCAGATTTTGTAAATGTTTCCTTCTTTACATATGCTTCAGAAATTGATTCATTAACTTGGTTTTGAGCCATTTATACGTTTTCCTTCAATTTTTTATCGATAGTTTCGCATTTGTGTACATTATCGGAGATATTTTTTATGATATGGGTTTCACAATGTTATTGCAAAGTTCTTTACTAAACATTCATTTAGAGACTTTTATAGGCTTTGCAAAAATACTTTCCTTTTCTGTAAAAATGTAATATAAAACAGTCGCCATTTCGTAGTGGTTGAATAAACTGAATAAATTACATGATCCTTATGTATAAATATATATATATATTAGGCTCCTGTAATTTCTTCATTGCAAATCTGTAATTTATCAATCCATAATTCTGCATTATGAGTGATTCTTACTCATCGTACTTCATTGTACCTATGTTTTCTGTCCATTCATTTTTCATGCGAGTAATTTAATTTTATTCCCCTTCAAGTGCCTAACAAAATTTTCCACTAGCAACCCTAAATAACAGCTATACAGCTTATCAGATTTGTTGTTATCCCATCTAAGAATTTTAGATCGCCAGTTCTAAGTAAGATCGCCAGTAAGTTTGTAACTGGCAAATAACAAAATTTCGATGGTATAGGGAGAATAATATGTAATCAGTAAGGCGAATGTGTAAACAGAATAAAATGTAGAGAAGACGAAAGAAAACTGCTAAACATTTTGTAGAATCATTAGGTTATTTTAAAGCAAGAGATGTGAAAAATGAGCAATGCCCTCGCCGGAACTCGAACCTGGACCTCTCGAATACGCGCCGAGTGTGCTATTCGTTACACCACGAA